GTACTTCATCACTTTCATTGATGACCACTCTCGCTTCTGCCACGTCTACCTACTAAAATCTAAAGATGAAGCTTTCAGTAAGTTCGTTGAGTTTTGGACTCGAGTGGAGAAGTAGCTTGGACTTCAGGTGAAAAGACTCAGGAGTGACAGAGGAGGAGAGTACCGATCTAAGGAGTCAGAGGCATATTTCAAGGAGCATGTAATCATTGCTGAAACCACTGCTCCGTATTCTCCATAATCTAATGGAATTACAGAAAGGAAGAATCGCACATTAACCGAGATGGTGAATTCGATGCTAATCACGTCCGGTCTACCTACATGCTATTGGGGAGAGGCTTTGCTGATGGCAAATTGGATTCTGAACAGAGTACCATATTCCAAAACGGATAGTACTCCTCATCAGTTATGGTTAGGATATCCAGATCCTTTGGATAGTCTCAAAGTGTGGGGGTGTCTCGCATATGTTCGAGTTCCAGATATCAGAAGGCCTAAGCTCGGACCAAAGGCAAACAGATGTGTGTTTCTTGGCTTTGCTGAAGATAGTGATGCTTGCAGGTTCCTTGATCTTGGAACCAACTCCATCATTGAAGCTCGGGATGCAAAATTCTTTGAGGATAAGTTTATCAAAGATAAAGGATTATTGCTCAAAGATATAGCAGAGAATGCTAGTATGTCAGAACCACCAGAGGAGCCAGTTTCGCGAGAAACTGAAAATGTCAGTGATGAAGGAGTTACTGAACAATCTTCCAAGCGTGTCAGGAGATAGAAAGATTTTGGAGATGATTTTATCACCTATAATATGAAAGGAGACCCACAGACTTTTCAAGAAGCAATGCAGTCAACAGACGTTCTTCTATGGAAAGAAGCTATAGATGATGAGATGGATTCAATGATTTAAAATCACACGTGGGAGCTGGTGGATGTACCTGAAGGTGCTAGGCCTATCGGTTACAAGTGGATCTTCAAAAAGAAGTTTTGTCCTGATGATACTATTGAGAAGTACAAAGCAAGACTAGTGGCGAAAGGATTCTCTCAGAGAGAAGGAATAGATTTCTTTGACATCTATGCACCAGTTTGCAGGATTACTACCATCAGAGTGCTTATCGCATGGGCGGCGATAAAAATGTTCGTCATACATCAGATGGATGTGAAGACTGTCTTTCTCAATAGAGACCTCACAAAAGAGATCTATATGGAGAAACCATAAGGACTTGATGCTCCAGCTGGTAAAGTTTGTAAGCTTATTAAGTCTCTATATGGACTTAAATAGGCACCGAAACTCTGGCATGAGAAGTTCGATGGGGTTGTTCGCAATAATGGGTATCAAGTCAGTGAGTCTGACAAGTGTCTATACATCAAGATTGCTGAAGGGAAGATGGTGGTTATCTGTCTCTATGTGGATGATATGCTCATCGTCGGGAGTGATTTGGAGATAGTAACATCTACCAAAAAATTTCTATCAGCTCAGTTCAGCATGAAGGACCTTAGAACTGCGGACGTGATTCTCGGAATCAAAATCATATACTCTGAAGAGGGTATTGGATTGTCCCAATCTTATTATGTTGAGAGCATGCTAAGGAAGTATGGCTACTACGACCTTTCAGAACTGTCAGTGCCGTATGATTACAACAAGAAGCTTCGACCGAACACTGAAAGACCAGTAGAGCAGCTAAGGTACTCAAAGATATTTGGAAGTCTTATGTACACGATGAGCTACACAAGGCCAGATATAGCATTTGCTGTAGGAATGCTTAGTAGGTTCACAAGTAATCCTGGAAAGCTTCACTGGGATGCTGTCCAGAGATTGATGAAATACTTGAAAGGAACTACAGGTCTGGGTCTATTCTACACTGGATATTCGGCTGTAATCGAAGACTATTTAGATGCGAGCTGATGCTCAGAACTAGATGAGTGCAGATCTACTAGAGGTTTTGTCTTCACCATGGGCGGAGCTGCCGTCTCGTGAAAATCTAAGAAGCAAACTATGATTGCACAGTCATCGATGGAATCTGAGTTCCTCGCACTCTGTGCTGCAGGAGATGAAGCTGAGTGGCTCAGTTGTATTCTCCGATACCTTCCATTGACAGAATTGTAAGGCGCAATTACAATCTATTGTGATAATTAGGCAACGGGTACTGTGACAACAAACTCGTTATTCAATGAAAAGAAGCGGACCATTCGTCTAAAGCATGGCTAATTGAGAAAACTCATTTTCCAAGGAGTCATCTCGGTGATTGACGTTCGGTCTTCAGAGAATGTGGTTGATCCTTTGACTAAAGGTCTAAAAAAGGACATAGTCGAAAGGACGTCTGCTGCAATGGGTCTCAAAGTTTTGTGAGTCTTACAAATACTTATCATGTTCATCCAATTATTAGTTCAAAGCTTATGCTACTAATAATAAAGATAACTGGTTCAAAAGTCAAGTAAGATTTGCAAAGTTTGGTGAGTCTTACAAATACTTACCATTTCGTCAAGTTATTAGTTCAAAGCTTACGCTACTAATGACCAAATGATTGGTTCAAAAGTCAAGTAAGATTTACAAGTGAAATCCTATCATGGAGGTTGGCTCTTAAGCCTTAATGGATCCAAAGCATTTCGGATGCGGGATGTTTGATAGGTAACATGCCTAAAGGACTCACCGATAATCCTATCATGTAAAGGGGCTGGCTGTTAAGCCTTAATGGATCCAAAGCATTTCGGATGCGGGGTGTTAGATAGGAAACACGCCTAAAGGACTCACCTAGAATCCTATCATGAGAGAGGATGGCTCTTAAGCCTTAATGAGTTCAAAGCATTTCGGATGCGGGATGTTTTATAGGACACATACCTAAAGAACTCACCTATGCCTGGGTGGAGATTTGGCCGTCTCCTATGGTATCTTATGGAAAGATACCTAGAGCCCTAGCAGAAACCAGAACTAGCACAGGGCCATAAATGTGCAAAGGCAAAGGCAAGTGTGGTTCAAAGTGAAAACTACCACATATGAGTTTGATCTTGTATGATCGCTGGATTTTTGACATGTGCTGGTTCAAGTCTCTGTGACACCATGCATCTATCTTCTATTCAGTTGGTCTAAGGGGGATTCAAGTCCTTGCGACATCTACCTTATGCATAACGATTGAAACGACGGCACCATTACACGATACTAGTTTAAAAGCTTATGGGGGATTATTGGATTTTTTTGGTCAAAACTGCTTTCCAAAATGAGTTTTCAAACTATATATATATTAACTACAAGTACTTTTCATAAATGCTTAGTAGCCTAGTGGAAAGTTAACGTTTTGTTGTTTCAAAAGGTCCCTTGTTCGAGGCTTGCCAACGGCAAGCCGAGAAGTGTTTTATTTGAATTAATCCCTCATAAGTTCTAGTGGGTCGTGGGTCGTGGGTCATGGGTCGTGGGTCGTGAGCCGTGGGCCAATGGGCTGGGGATCGGGGCTAATCGGGCTGAGGCGCTAAGTGGCGCTTTGTTAGGCGCAGTTTGCACTTTCCATGAAGGTTGCCTCGCAGGTTGCTTCGCAGCATGCGGACGAGCTGCGTATTCGCACGAGGGTGACCCTAACATTCTTGTAGTTTGACAAGGTTCGCTCGTTCGACGAAGTTCATCTATCATACGAGGTTTGCCTGTTTGACGATGTTCATTCGTTTGACGATGTTCGTCTGTCATACGAGGTTCGCTTGTTTGATGAGGTTCGTCTGTCATACAAGGTTTACCTGTTTGACGAGGTTCGTATGTCATACGAGGTTCGCCTGTTTGACTATGTTCGCTCGTTCGACGAGGTTCGTCTATCATACGAGGTTCACCTGTTTGACGACGTTCGTTTGTCAAACGAGGTTCGTCTGAACTACTGAGTCGTGACCCTCGCGTTTTGTAGCAATACGTCCATTGATTACCTCGTATTCAGGAGTTAATGCATGTAGCAGTTACAATAGCATTAAGAGCAATTTAATACATTGATGTTACAATCTTAATTGTCTTTAAGAATTGTAATGGTCACATTAATTGCTAGTGACTCTTGAGCTGGCCTTAGAGGCCTTGTGGCTGTATTTATAGGCTTTGGGACCTCTGTTTTCGGATAAGAACGACCGATTCACTCTTATCCTCACTCATAACCACTTTATCACATTCTAGGATTGGTTCAGATCAGTTGGAATAAATCCAGGTGGTTAACGTCGAAAAACGGCTTGAAACTGCAAAAAATCAGTTTTTGGGGCTGCGGACGCCCGCGGTGTCTCGGTAGTGGCCGAGACACCAATGGGTGTCTCGCCAAGGCCTGGAACATTATTTCGCATGTTCTGTCCGTTTCCGCCGTATCTTTGCCGTCCGAACTCGCAATTACGTGATTCAAAGTGCGTAGGAAAGCCGACGAGGAGATATACAAGCTCCTATAGTTGGATCATATATGGAGCAGATGGGATATGAAGGGTGATTCGTCTTTTATCAGCGAAGCGTGGCTCCCGATCAGTTCATATCCTCGTTATTCTGCAGTTCCGTTGCTTCACACGGTTTGTCGAATTACTTCATGCGCTCTTCGACGATAAATAATCTTACGTGACTCAGATAGTGACGTTCATCGTCTTCTCTCAGCTTCGAGCTGTTTGTGGGAACTTATAAGCAATTTTTGATGCCTACAAAGACGTTGAGATGTCAAGATGGATTGAAACGGCGATGCCGTTACTGACTGTGAAACGGCAATATGCCGCTTGTTTGAGGACGAGAGACGGCTTGAAACGATGATGCCATTAATTGAGACCGCGCGAGAAACGATCTTGAATACGAGAACACGAAACGTGTTAAGAGGCTGCAAAGCAGCAAGACCAAAATTCTGGCAGAGGAATGCAAAAAAGCGTTAAACGACTACAAAGCAGCAATGCCAAGATTTGGCAAAAGAACGCAGAAACGTTAAAAAATTTTATTGGAAGGGAAATAATAATAAGTCTAGCTCTGATACCATGTTAAACTAAGAGAGAGAGTCTTGGGTAAATTTCCCTTAAGTTGAATATTGAGTGTATACATATATTTATACAAGTAGAGGAGGGTGAGATGTGTTCTCACAACCAATGTGGGACTAAAACCCACTACAATACACTATTATCAACATTGCATATACTGAAAATGATCATTTAAGAACTCAGGTGAATCATAGCTTGATGTTCTCCTCATGGCTGTGCTTGCTCTCCTCTTTTTGTTGTTGTTGTTGTTGTTGTTGCATTCAACAATCCAGTGCATCAATTATGATCATAATGCCCAAAAGTATATACTTTTTTCGTAAAATCAAATATGAGGTCGAGAAAGCTGAGTGTTAATTATTGAAAAAAGTGAAACATATGCAGTATTGTCTCAGTTAATGTACCGAATGCAGATGACAAACTTCGGAAAGAGGGAAGGGAGGATCAAATAAGGATCCATTCAGAACCGCCTGTGCTATAATTTTGTTGGCAGCTTCTGTAGCATGAATTCCATCCCAGCTCACATACTCTCCCGGATCAGTGCAAGCGGTTGCGGTTACATTGATACCATTTATAATCTTTGTATTGCCACAAAAAACTTGTGGGTTGAAGTTATAAGCACCACCACCAGCGCCGCAACAAGCTTTGTTTCCAAATACGAACCCTGATTAGGAAAAAAAATGAAACACTATTTAATATCAAGCGTAAAGTAAACAGCTTACTCGTTTTATTACCAAAGGTAATACTATTTCTCTATCTCTTCTAATCAGACATGTACTTTTGTTCAGTTACTTAGTAAAACATAAATTACATCTTGAATTTAATGCCATATACACTGTGTGTGTGATTGATGTTAAATGGCTGACAGGAAATGATGAATAAAACACTTTTTCAACAATGGAGAACAATTTTATTGGTAAGTTAATATGATTAAGGAATACGGATGGAATAAGAATTAATCATTTTTTTTTAAAATTCCTGCAAGTGAATACGCTAATGCTACTACTGTCAAGATTTTTGGAAGATGAGAGGAAAAATACTTTTGGGGAACGCGAGAAGGGGAACACGAAAAACAGAAAAACGTATGAAGGAAACTTCATATGCATGCCTAACGTAATAAAGAAATCTTCAAGCTGACAGCACAATGTAAAAGTCTTTCAGAGGGATTAAAAGAGTAGATGAATTCAACTTTAACCAAATTCTGTAGAAGAGCCTCTAATTTAATAGGAATATCATATGAAATGAGGAACATAGGGAAAAAGAATTTAGGAAACAAGCTGGTATGAGCTGGTGTTATAAGAGAAGGAAGATAACAACGTAAGAAGACTATATTTCTTTGAAAAAAAATAGTCCTACCGAAAAGAGAGGTGCATGCATAAATATTGAATTTCAATAGAGAACTTTAACTAAGGAATTTCCTAACCATGGTCTTTAGGATGCTGAAAAAGCTCAAGCTTGATAGAATGAGTGTCCACATATATAACAGAGGCATCCAGTAGCTGATCTCGAATCTGCCCAAGTCTTTCCTTCAATAAATTGTTGTAGTAGACAACTGCATCATTATATGAAATCATGCAGCCGTATATATCCAAGTCTGATGCATCGTGAGGGAGTTCTGTCAGAAATGCTGGGAAGCAACCGATGGGTGCAAGGTTCGCCACCAAGAATGTCCGTCCACCAATATCATATAGTTCCTGATTCATATTTCGTTAGGTAAGGTATGTAAATTGTAACTTTGCAAATGAGAGCATGTGTCCTAGAAAAAAAAAATTAAAAAAACAAAAACAAAACAAAACAAAATTCAGATTTTTTAAGGCTTATTTTCACTTCGTAACCACCAAAATATTCTTTTAACACTTAGATATCCCAAAGTTTCAATCTCATTTCACATTGATGCACATTGATGCTCCCCGTCCAGATGTCATTAGTTTTTCTATTAAATTCGTATTGCGTGCTTTGCAAGTGATAGTTCGTCAGCTTCTGGGCGCAACTGGGTAACATGGGACTGAATGCATTACGTGCTTACCCAAATTTAGTAGAAAATCTAACGAAGTCTGGGTGAGGGTATTAAAAGTGAAGTGAGATTGAAACTTCGGAGTATCAGAGCGTCAAACATACTTTGGGTGTCACAACGAAAAATACGTAAACTTTGGGTAACAAAGGAAAATAAGCTTTTTTTATGTAGCAGCAGTAAGTTTAGTACAAGAAAACCAAGATCTTTCACCTTTATTGTTGAAGCAATCTGAGAGGCAACCTGAGGAACATATTGCTTAATTCCTTCAATCCCAAGCGTTCCAGCATTGCTTGTAAAGTCATTTTGGCCGATGTCTATGGTATATAGTGATTGGCTGAAGACGTTTCGAGGAGGAAGATAACCTGCACATGTCAGTCATAACTTAATCTCTCTCACATGCACGCACTCACGCACACTTATAGTCAGAGCTGAATGAATAATTGCTATGACTAGTTAGATAATCCTTTTTTTCACTCTGTGCTTTCTCTTAATACTGCAATTTTTACAACCTCTTTCATTCTATACTATTTAACCGCCAGTCCTTGGGTCCATTGATAAAAACAGCCACTTAACCTGCCTCCAATGGGATATTATAATTGAACTGCTACCTGTTATATATATACGGTTCACTCTTATTATGCACAAGCTATATACTTCATCGAAGGTTTAAATTGTTGACTTTGTTGGCTTGAATCTAAAATTGGATGGGACCAATTTCCAATCAAATCCCTGATGGATCGAAGAATGACAGCAAAAAGATTGAAAAGAACATTTGCTCTCAATTATTCAAAAGTCATCGGGTGTGTTTTCAACGAAAGTGAGAAAACTACAAACCTACTCTCATTTTTCAACAAAGGAACATCAGCCGATTTTATGTCACACTCCATCTTTATGTCACTTTCTCACTTGTGGTCCCCCCCAATCAATCAATCATTCTTCACTGATTGATTTTTTAATCTCTGTGTGAATTAAAAGGAAGAGAGTGTAAGGTAGAGTAAGACACACAACGAATAAGTGAGCTCTCAAATTTTGTATGAGTGTTGTAATTTGAGAAAGAAATATAGTGAAACACCCTCTTGCCGTGGACGTAGATCAATTTGATCGAACCACGTAAATATTGTGTTTGTGATTGTCTCTCTATTTTCTGGTTCTGTGTTTAAATTATCCCAACAAACTGGTATCAGAGCTTCTCGGTTTCTAGGACAGCTTTCAATCCTCCACAATGGCTTCTGTGAAGTTCTCGGTGTCGATCTTTGATGGCCAGAACAATTTCGGCCTATGAAGGATAAAGATGAAGGCTTTGTTGCGACGTGAAGGCACAGTTAAAGCTATCGATGGGAAATACCCAGAAGATATGACTAGTACCGAGATCGAAGAGATGGACGAAAAGGCTCACAGCGCCTTGCAATTGTCACTGTCCGACAATGTGCTTCGTGAAGTTGCTGATGAGGAAACGACAGCGGGGTTGTGGGTCAAAACTCAAAGTCTCTATTTGAAGAAATCTCTTACTACGAGATTATACCTGAAGCAACGGCTATACACATTGAAGATGAAGGAAGGTATCTTACTACGAGATTATACCTGAAGCAACGGCTATACACATTGAAGATGAAGGAAGGTACACCCATTCAGGAACACCTTGATGAATTTAATAAAATTGTCATGGATATGAAAAACCTGGATCTAAAGCTTGATGATGAAGACCAAGCTCTCATTGTGTTGTGTTCCTTGCCTGACTCTTACGAAAACTTTGTTAACTCTATGTTGTATGGAAGAGAATCCATAAGTCTTGAGGATGTGAAGGCCGCTTTGAATTCTGCTAAGTTAAGAACAAAGTTGAATGGGAGAGGTACCGATAGGCAGGCTGATGGTCTGCTAGCCAGAGGTAGAATGAAGACCAGAGAGGGTGATAAAGTGCAATCCAGAAATCGTTCAAAGTCCAGGTCAGCCCAAAACAAGAAACATGTGGAGTGTTTCTACTATCACAAGAAAGGGCATTACAAGTCAGAATGCTATGCTCTAAAGAAGAAAGACAACCAGCGTGGTGAAACCTCTGATTCAGCTAATACGGCAAAGGCTGATACTGTCGTAGTTGCTGAGACGGTTCTTGCAGTTTGTCCCTTGGATAGCCGTTCCGATAGAGAATGGATCTTGGATACGGATGCGTCTTATCATATGTGTCCAAATAAAGATTGGTTCACTACTTACAGATCTATAAGTGGTGGATCATTTTTGATGGGCAACAATGTAGTTTGCAAGACAGTTGGCATTGGTACAATTCGCATCCGGTGTCACGATGGGATAGTAAGAACTTTATCAGATGTGAGACACATCCCGGACTTAAAGAAAAATCTGATTTCTTTGAGTTCTTTGGATTCTATTGGGTGTTCTTACACTGGTGAAGGTGGAGCTCTTAGAGTTACTAAGGGTTCATTGGTTGTGATGAAAGGTAGTAAGGTGAACAGTCTTTATGTTCTCCAATGCAGTACGGTGACAGGCTCTGCAGGTGTGTCTTCTGATGCTGATAGGGACACTACTCAGTTGTGGCACATGCGCTTAGGCCACATGAGTGAGAAGGGGATGACTATTTTGAGTAAACATGGCTTACTCTGTGGTAATCATACATCATCACTGGATTTCTGTGAGCATTGTGTGTTTGGGAAGAAAACTCGGGTCAGCTTCTCGACTGGCTCACATACGACGAAGGGCACTCTCGACTACATCCATTCAGATTTGTGGGGACCTGCTCAGGTTCCATCCAAAGGTGATGCTCTTTATTTTCTGAAGTTTATTGATGGTTTTTCCAGGAAAGTTTGGGTTTACTTTCTCAGGTGCAAAAGCGAGGTGTTCGAAACTTTCAAAAAGTAGAAAATACTTGTTAAAAATCAAACTGAAAAGAAGATTAAACGTCTCCGAACAAATAATGGCCTAGAGTTCTGTAGTGGAGAGTTCAATCAATTCTGCTCAAATTCTGGGATCGTACGACATTGCACGGTCAGACACACTCCTCAGCAAAACGGGGTGGCGGAACGCATGAATAGAACGTTGACGGAGAGAGCTAGGTGTATGCTCTCAAACTCTGGGTTGGATAAAGACTTCTGGGCTGAAGCTGTTAATACAGCTTGTTACTTGGTGAACCGGTCTCCTTCTACCACCATTGAACACAAGACTCCAAATGAGGTATGGTCAGGTAAACCAAATGACTATTCAAATTTAAAGGTATAACACAAGACTCCAAATGAGGTATGGTCAGGTAAACCAAATGACTATTCAAATTTAAAGGTATTTGAATATCCCGCTTACTATCATGTTAGAGAGGGTAAGCTTGAGCCTAGAGCTAAGAAATGCATATTTATTGGTTATACTGATGGTGTTAAAGGTTATCATTTGTGGAGTCTTGAACCTGATTCACCTAAATTCATTATTAGTAAAGATGTTACTTTTAATGAAAGATATATGTTTAATTATGGGAAGGTTTCTATTGAGTCTACAGGAAATATAGAGAAGATAATGGATAAGGTGGAGCTTCAGGTGGAGCTCGAGGGAGAGACGTCTTAAAAGTTGTCTATAAAAATTGCTCCTACAGTTGTAGAAGAGCAACATGATTCAGGCTCAGATGCTGATGATGCTGAGATTGAAGAACCTTATTCCATAGCCACTGGCAGGATGAGGAGACAGATCAAACCTCCTCAAAGATACGCACATGCTGAATTAGTGGCATATGCTCTCATGATAGCTGAAAAGATGTGTATTCAAGAGCCATCAAACTTTACTGAAGCTGCCTCATGCGGAGAATCTGGACGTTGGACCACGGCTATGACAGAAGAACTCGAGTCACTCTACAAGAATCAGACTTGGGATTTGGTGCAATTACCTAAGGGTAAAAGGGCAATTGGTTGAAAGTGGATTTTCAAAAAGAAAGAAGGGATCCCAGGGGTTGAAGATGCTAGATTCAAAGCACGGTTGGTGGCTAAGGGTTATGGACAAAAGGAGGGAATTGACTATGATAAAGTGTTCTCTCCGGTTATGAAACATACCTTCATCCGTGTATTGCTTGTTATGGTTACTCTATTTGATCTGGAGCTTGAGCAGCTTGATGTGAAGACTGCATTCTTACATGGAGAACTTGAGGAGACTATCTACATGTCTCAGCCAGAGGGATACTTCGTAGAAGGTAAAGAAGATCAAGTTTACAGATTGAAAAAATCCTTGTACGACCTGAAGCAATCTCCCAGACAGTGGTACAAGAGGTTTGATAATTTTATGCTTAGTCATGGGTACTCAAGAAGTACTTATGATAGTTGTGTGTACTACATGCATCTAGGAGATGATTCTTTTATTTATCTTCTATTATATGTCGATGACATGCTTATTGCTGCTAAGAACATGTCACAGATTCTTATTTTGAAGAAACAACTTAATGATGAGTTTGAAATAAAAGATCTTGGTGCAGCAAAGAAGATCTTAGGTATGGAGATCAGGAGGGACAGGAAAGCTGGAACTTTATAGCAAAGAAGATCTTAGGTATGGAGATCAGGAGGGACAGGAAAGCTGGAACTTTATATCTCTCACAGAAGAGTTATATTGAAAAGGTGAGCTGGAACTTTATATCTCTCACAGAAGAGTTATATTGAAAAGGTGCTTGAACGCTTTGGGATGAAAAGAGCCAAGCCCGTTACGACTCCTTTGGCTCCTCACTTTAGGCTCTTGACTTTAGATTCACCTACAAGTGAGAACGAGAAGAAGGAGATGTCCCGAGTTTCATACTCTAATGCAGTGGGTAGCATAATGTATGCTATGATTTGCACTCGTCCAGACATTGCCCGGGCAGTCAGTGTAGTGAGCAGATACATGGCTCAACCAGGAAAGGCACATTGGGAAGCAGTAAAGTGGATCCTACGGTATCTCAGGGGTACCTCAGTTTGGTTTTTGATAGCAGTACTTTGGGAACCTCAGTTGTAGGTTTTGTGGATTCTGATTATGCAGGTGATCTCGATAAAAGGAGATCTTTGACTGGTTATCTTTTTACTCTTTTTGGCTTACCTATTAGTTAGAGAACGACTCTACAGTCGACAGTTGCTTTGTCTACTACAGAGGCAGAATACATGGCAGCAGTAAAAGAATCCATTTGGTTGAGAAATCTCGTGAGGGAGCTTGGACTTCAGCAGAAGGCTAGTTCAGTTGTATTTTGCGACAATCAGAGCGTAATATTTCTAAGCAAAAACTCTGCACATCATGAGAGGACAAAGCATATTGATGTCGGATATCATTTCATTCGTGAGGCAACTGCTGAAAGAAACATCAAGATGAAGAAGATTGGTACTACAGACAACCCAACTGACATGTTGACCAAACCGATTCCGGCCTTCAAGTTCAAGCACTGCTTGAATTTGGGAGGCATTCGCACTTGTTAGATGGCCCCTTTTGGGGCATTATTTGCAAGATAGGTGAAGACTCGCTAGTTATTGATGTTTGGGAATTCAATCCAAGATGGAGATTGTTGACTTTATTGGCTTGAATCTAAAACTGGATGGGACCAATTTCTAATCAAATCCCTGATGGATCGAAGAATGACAGCAAAAAGATTGAAAAGAACATTGCTCTCAATTATTCAAAAGTCATCGGGTGTGTTTTCAACAAAAGTGAGAAAACTACAAACCCACTCTTATTTTTCAACAAAGGAACATCTGCTGACTTTGTGTCACACTCCATCTTTATGTCACTTTCTCACTTGTGGTCCCCCCCCCCAAATCAATCAATCCTTCTTCACAGATTGATTTTTTAATCTCTGTGTGAATTAAAAGGAAGAGAGAGTGTAAGGCAGAGTAAGACACACAACGAATAAGTGAGCTCTAAAATTTTGTATGAGTGTTGTAATTTGAGAAAGAAATATAGTGAAACACCCTCTTGACATAGACGTAGATCAATTTGATCGAACCACGTAAATATTGTGTTTGTGGTTGTCTCTCTATTTTCTAGTTCTGTGTTTAAATTATCCTAACATAAATAATAGTTCTCCAGTTGAATAGACAGACTTTGAACTTATGATCGCTCGGTCAAATTAACCCATTAAGTACAAGCTTAGTGACAAATGTTTTTTAGCAACAAGCTTAATTACACGTCTTTTGGCAGCAAGCTTAATTACTAGGGTTAATTGCACATGGACCCCTGTAGTATCGCATTTTGAAACTTGTTATGCCCGTAGTTTGATTTTGGCGAATGGGTGAATTTTTTCGCCTCTTTTGCCTTTGGTGAAGTTTTTTGTATCACCCTTGGGAGAATTAGTGAGTCTATCAAAGGGTAAAAGAGTCAAAAAAAACTTTTATTCAAGAGGTATATCTGCCAAAATCAAACTACATGGTAATATGTTCCAAAGTGCGATATTACAATGGGTCTATGTGAAACTGATCCTAATTTCAAATGTAATAACTCAATGTCATGTCGTTTCATACATATGAAATTTAATGGTACTTGTTGTGCCCAAGATAAGGCCTACATGAGGAGGTCTACATGAATTAGATTCTATCTATAAGAAATCCACATGAATTAGGATTCTATGTAGAAGAGGATTTGGAGGATCTATTTGAAATAGAAATAGGTTTGGAGAATTCTATATAAGAGAGCTCTGAGATCAATATTTATATGAATAGTTTTTTGGGTGAATAGTATTTGGTGCTACAGTAACCACGGTTTTGCTACAGTGTCATGAGGAGAGAGCAAATGGAGAGAAGAAAAGTGAGAGAAAAGTTCAGATTCTGGATAGCTCGGGTGCCCGATTGTAGTGATTCAAAAACCGTTGTCTTCAGAACGATGACGTCATCGAGGGTACGATGTTGATTTCTCCACGGGAGTTGGAGATTTTTGGTGAGACTGGTTTTAGGGTTTTAATGCCCTAGAGGTAACACTGTAACTTTTTTTTTTGTGATTTAATCATCAAGTTCAGGTGTAACTTGGAGGGATTGTACTCTTGATTCATAATGAAATATTTCTCTCTGGATTACCCGTGGATGTAGGCACGATTTTCCGAACCATATTAAATATTGGTGTTTACTTGCTTATGGTATTTTCATTAGTGTCATTATTCGTTTAGTGTTTAATTCCGCAAATTAATCTCTATAAAATCCCTAACATGTTGTATCAATGCTCTGGTTCGAGGCGTGCTTTGGGATGAAAAAGATGGGGAGTTTTGGCACAATGATAAAATTGGATGGTTTTAATTGGCAAGTATGGAAGTCCAAGGTAGAAGATATTTTGTATTGTAAAGATTTACATGACCCTATTGAGGAAGATAAAGCCAAGCCCGAAAAGATGATTGTAAAGAATGGGAGAAATAATACAGGAAGGCGGTCGGTTATATTTGGATGTGGATCGAAGTTAGTGTGTTTCATCATGTATCGGGTGAGACAAATGTGAAGTTTCTTTGGAAGAAGCTTGAGGATCTCTACGAGCAGAAGACCGTGGGAAACAAAGCATTTATTATGAGGCGGTTGGTGAATTTGAAATTTAAAGAAGGAAGCAATATAGCAGGGCACTTGAATGAGTTTAAGAGTTTAATTAATTAGTTAGCTACCACAAAGATGACTATCGATGATGAGCTACAGTTTTTATTGCTATTGGGTTCTTTGTCTGATAGTTGGGAGACACTAGTTATAACAGTCAGCAACGTAGCTCCAGATGATGTGTTATCGATGAGTATGGTTACTAGTAGTTTATTCAATGAAGAGACTCGGAGGAAGTCTACCAACACAGATAACTCACATGCACTTGTCACAGAGAATAGGGGTAGGAGCAGGTACATGGACCAGTCTAGAGGTCGTGGCACATCCAAGGGTAGATCAAAGTTTAAAGGGAGATGTTGTTTTTATTGTGGGAAGTCGGATCATATCAAGAAGAATTGTTGGGCATTAAAGAAAGATCAAGTTGGGAACAAAAATGAAAAGAAAGATGAGAAGAAGAAAGTTGACAGTGACACTACAACTACTTTGTCTGAGAGAAATATTATTCTCATTTGTAGGGAAGAAGAATGTATGCATGTTGCAAGTCAGAATTACGAGTGGATAGTGGATACAGGAGCTACATGTCATGCTACCTCCAATCGAGACATTTTCACGATGTATAAAGCATGTGACTTTGGCAATGTGAAGATGGGCAATACCAGCTACTCGAAGATTGTGGAACTTTGTGATATACACTTGCAGACAGATACTGGATGCACATTGATCTTAAAGAATATATGGAATGTTCTCAATTTGCGGCTCAACTTAATTTCGGGTCTTGCTTTGGACCGAATGAGATATAAAATTCAATTTGGTGGAGGAAAATGTAAAATCACCAAAGGCTCTCTTGTGGTGGCTAGAGGAAGTGTGTGTTACAATTTATACAAGACTCAAGAGAAGGCTTCATATGATTCTTTGAGCATGGCTCAAGATGGTGACACTCTCAGTTTGTGACATAGGAGGCTCGGGCACATAAGTGAGAAGGGGTTGCAGATATTGGCAAAGAAGTCTTTCATTCCCTTTGCCAAAGGTTCATCACTCATTCCTTGTGATTATTGCTTATTTGGCAAACAACATAGAGTTTCTTTTAGTAATCTTTCTAAAATAAAAGATAATACTCTGGATTTGATTTATTATTATGTTTGTGGTCCTATTGAGGTTGAGTCCTTGGGTGGCAATAAGTATTTTATCATATTTATTGATGATGCATCGCGAAAGATGTGGGTCTTCTTGTTGAGGACAAAGGATCAAGTGTTTTCAGTATTCCAGCAATTTCATGTCATGGTGGAGAAGCAGACAGGAAAGAAGTTAAAGTTTTTACGCACCGATAATGGAGGAGAGTATACTTCCATTGAGTTTAGAGATTATTGCTCAAACATGGTATTCGGTATCAGAGGACAGAGCCAGGCACACCGCATCATAATGGAGTTGCAGAGATGTACAACAAGACTACTATGGAGAAAGTCAGATGCATGTTGAAGATGGTAAAGTTATCTAAGAGTTTTTAGGCTGAAGTTGTTCGCACTGCATGCTACATAATCAATAGGTCTCCTTCAGTTCCTTTGAGTTTTGATATTCCAGAGAGAGTTTGGTCTAAAAAAATATTTCCTATTCCCATATGAAGGTACTTTGTTGCAAGGCGTTTGTACATATTCCAAAGGAGGAGAGACAGAAGCTTGATGATAGAGCGGTTTCTTGCATCTTTCTTGGTTATGGAGAAGATGAGTTTGGCTACAAACTATGGGATCTAGAAAAGAAACAAATTATCAGACGAGCAGATGTAATTTTTCAAAAAGATCAGACTATTGCAGATCTCGGGAGAGCAGAGCAGTCAAATAGTGTTGCTAGTGAGATTTCAGATATGACACACGTTTTGTCTCCAGTACAGTTGCATCCTACAGATATAGAGCAGGTGTATGATAATGATATTGATGATGATGGTCAGACACTAGAGTAAGAACACGATGATCAGGATCATGAGCAGGAGGCTCCTCAGCAGGGGGAGCATCACCAGCAGCAGGAGTTTGTAGAGCCACAACTTAGGAGATCATCTAGAGAGCATCAACCATCCACGAGATATCCTATTTCAGAATATTCTTTACTAACAGAAGAGGAGAAGCCAAAAATCTTTCAGAATGCACATACTCATAAAGACAATGATAGATGGTTCTAGACTATGAAGGAAGAGATGAAGTCTCTTGAGAAGAACGATACTTATGAGTTGGTGGATTTGCCGAAGGACAGAAAAGCTTTGAAGAATAAGTGGGTGTTCAAGTTAAAGAAGGATGGCTACAAAGAGATTGAAAAATACAAAGCCAGATTAGTGGTGAAAGGCTTTGGTCAGAAAAAGGGTATTGATTTTGATGAATTTTTTTCACCGGTTATGAAGATAACGTCTATTAGAGTTATCTTGGGGTTAGCAGCTAGTTTAGACCTTGAGATTGAGCAGCTTGATGTGAAGACTACATTCTTTCATGTTGATTTGGAGAAGGAGATATACATGGAGCACCCGGAGGGTTTTGAAGTGAAGGGAAAAGAGCACATGGTTTGAAGGTTGAAGAAGAGCCTCTTTGGTTTGAAGCAGGCACCCAGACAGTGGTATAAGAAATTTGATTCTTTTATGTTAAGTCATGACTACCAGAGGACAGTTGCAGACCGTGTGTATATTTTAGGAGAATTTTAGATTCTAGTTTCATTATCATTTTTCTTTATGTGGACGATATGTTGATTGTTGGTCAGGATAGTCAAATAATCGGTGGGCTGAAAAATGAGTTATTTAAATCTTTTGACATGAAGGATTTGGGCTCGGCACAACGGATTCTTGGTATGTATATTGCTCGTGACAGGAATGTTAGGAAATTGTTGTTATCACAGGAGAAATATGTTGAACGGTTACTTGGTAGATTCAACATGAAAGATGCCAAGTCAGTCAGTACTCCTCTTGCAGATCATTTGAAGCTTAGCAAGAAATTTTGCCCGACTACAAATGAGAAAAAGAGTGAGATGGAGAATATTCCTTACTCTTCAGCTATAGGAAGTTTGATGTATGCCATGGTTTGCACTTGGCTAGATATAGCTCATGCAGTTGGCGTTATGAGCAAGTTTCTTTCTAATCCAGGGAAAGTTCATTGGGAAGGTATAAAGTGGATCTTAAAATATTTAAAAGACAGTTCCAGATTGTGTTTGAGTTTTGGAGGTTCAAAGACAGTATTATATGGTTTTGTAGATGCGGATATGGCAGGTAATCTCGATCACAGGAAGTCTACCTCAGGTTGGTTGTTCACTTTTACAGGGGGAGCAGTATCTTGGCAGCCCATGTTACAAAAGTGTGTTGTTTTATCTACAATAGAGGCGGGATATAACAATAGAGGCGGAATATATTGCAGCTGTAGAAGCCGGTAAAGAGATAATTTGGTTGAGAAGATTTCTGTAGGAGTTAGACTTACAGCAGGACAATTATCAAATCTTCATTAATAGTCAAAGTGCTCTTAATTTGAGCAAGAATTTTACATTCTATTCCAGTATGAAACACATTGATGTGAGATATCATTGGCTTAGAGAAGCTGTTGAGAAAGAGGAGCTGAAGTTACAGAAGATTCAAACATGAAAATCAAGCAGATTTTTTAATGAAGACCGTTTCCAGAGAGAAGACCGAGTTGTGTCAGCGATTGGCCGGTATGAACTCCCATTGAGGAGTTACAGATTGGCGTACCCCCTCGTTGGACTGGAGGGAGAGATTATTGTGGGTCCAGCCCAAGATAAGGCCTACATGAAGAGGTCTACATGAATTAGAATTTTATCTATAAGAAGTCTACATGAATTAGGATTCTATGTAGAAGAGGATTTGGAGGATCTATTTGAAATAGAAATAGTTTTGGAGAATTCTATATAAGAGAGCCCTGAGATCAATATTTATATGAACAGTTTTTTGGGTGAATAGTACTACGGTGCTACATTAACAGCGGATTTGCTACAGTGTCGCGAGGAGATAAGAAAAGAGAGAGAAAAGTTCAGATTTCGGATAGCTCGGGTGTCCGATTGCAGTGATTCAAAAGCCGTTGTCTTCAGAATGATGACACTGTCGAGGGTATGGTGCTAATTTCTCTACGGGAGTTGAAGATTTTTGGTGAGACAGGTTTTAGGGTTTTGGTGCCCTAGAGGTAACACTGTATATTTCTCTTGTGATTTAATTCTCAAGCTCAGGTGTAACTTGGAGGAATTGTACTCTTGATTCATAGTGAAATATTTCTCTTTGGATTGCCCCGTGGACGTAGGCACGATTTGCCGAACCACGTTAAATTTTGGTGGTTGCTTGCTTGTGGTATTTTTATTGGTGCCGTTATTCGTTTAGTGTTTAATTCCGCAGATTAATCTCCATAAAATCACCAACAACACCTTCTTCAAGGTAATAATAATTTGTAACCACTTCATGCTTGCTACCTATCTCTAGTTGTGGACAGTAAGCGCTTATTTTATGCAGAGGTTCTATGGAAAGTATCTACTGGTCTTAATTACAGTAAATCTCTACACTTGTTCAAAAACAAGGAAAAGAAAATGAAGGAGAAAGACACAAAGCTTGAGTGAACTTGATAGATGCACTCTTCCTTCAAATTTTTCATTGTGGTTAAGCTGGATAGCCAATGAGAACCGGCGTAGCAAAATTGGCTCCGTGACTGTAGTTTGAGCCAATTGATTGCAGGTACGGGCTAAGAAACGGCAGCCCAAGACCTTGCGCTTCAAGAAAAATAATTAAATAAAAATCAGAGCAGGCAAAATAATCAAATAAGTGAAAAGAACGTGGCTCCATTGGAATGTCAATGGGCGTCCTATATACGAACTTAATTACCGAAGAAATCAATGGCTGCTCTACCGTCAGAGGCCCGGCCAGCTGGTTTCTTGAAGTAGGTCATGCCAAAGGGAAGGCGCTGAGCCGGGAACGCAGCCCAAAAGCACCGGGGATCTCTGAATTCGACCGTCACCAAAAGCTTGAACGATGCTGCGAATCTACACAGCGCACCGACAAAGAGCGAACGAGGCCGATATCAACTAGAGACGTGGAATATCAGAGGTTTTGATGAGGAGGATCGAATGAAAACGGCTGCCAGTATTCTTAGCCAGAATGAAAATCAAGCTAATGAAGGAGAATTATATACGAAACTAGAATTAGAAGATATGTCTCTGGATCAGCCGAAAGCATGCAAGGAGTTCGTTAGCTTGCTATAATTCAACGCGTTTGTCATAAAGTGGAGAAGCTATTATTACAATTGTGGTCTGGATTTTTGCGCTGGTTTCCCTATCCGTGAGAATTTTCTGAAGGATAGGAGTAACTAGTACACTTCAGGGGGGAAAGACAGAAGTAGCCCCCCCCCCCCCCCCCCCCAACAAAAAAAAAAAAATTCGTAAACAGAGTCAATGTAGTATTGCTTGCAATGGTGGAAAATACGCGCATTTGATCATTTCTATACCCTCAACGAAATAGTTACCGATTCTATCGCCCAATTAGGAAAAAGAAAAAGGAAATTGGTCCTATCACCCTCAAGACAGACCAGAAAAGTTTCCACCGAAGATGCTAAAATAGTGACAATACAGCATCGTGCTGGTCCCGGATAGAGTTGATGTATGGCATGCACCATCCTTTTGAGAAATTAGAACAGAGATCCACTGAAAGCTTTTGGAGCCATGTGCTCCCCGTTCAAGAAAAGAAATTATTCATATAATTTTCTTCCTACATGCTGACAAACTTGTCAGTAGATGTCACTGAAATTAGGGGTGTCCAAACAAGCCATCAACCGAGATCCAGCCTGGTGTCCGGCCCAAACTCGGGAAATGCCCGGAAACTCGGGCTTAACAGGGCTCCACGCCTGGGTCAGAGGTCCGGGTCCGGGTTGGTTCGGCGAAACCTGACCCGAGCCCGCCCAGCCCAGTCAGAAATAGGGCCAGACTGAAGAATCCGGGTCCGGGTCTTGCCCGGACCAAGACCCGGAACGGTGGGTAGCTATTGGACCGGGCCGGGCGTCTACGCCCGGGCTGGTCCAGGTTTGAACCGAGCAAAATAAATGGGGTATTTTGATTATTTGGCTAGGGGGCTACCTCCATAAATAGATGAGATTTTTATTTATTTTTCTCATCCAAAACTCATCTACTTATCTCTAATACTCTCTTATTCTGTCGTGTACTCTCTAATTCTCTAGTTTTAATGACTTTCTCTACCGACTATGAAGGGCAAATTTCAACTCCCGACATCAAAATAAGTTCTACTACTCCTACAGCTAGTCCTCTTACTATCGATATTGATCCTAAATTCAGCGGCGATGATCCAACACTTAGAGCTCCTAAAAAGCCGAGATCTGATGTGTAGATTTTTTTTTAGAAGATAGAAGTCACTAGGGATCAACACGGCAAACTTCTCACCCAAAATGCCAAATGTGCATTGTGCGGCTATATCTTTGAAGCTCATCATAAGAGCGGCACCAACCACTTCAAACGCAATTTGGGACAACATAAGAGAGTGTTAGTAGTAACATCTCGAGGAGATATCCACCAATCTCTACTCTATCAATCATTTACTACAGGTAGCCTCGGTTACTGAAACTATGACGCGATTAAAGCTAGGAAATGCATCGTAAGGTTTATTATTCTTATAAACATTCATTATAAATTAGTAGAAAATGTTGAATTTGATGATATGATTAGAGATTTTTTTTTATCATGCATTTCAAAAAAAATTCTCATCAATCTTGTCAACGTGATAAGGGGAAAATGCTTCCAGTCCCTAAATTCGTAACAAGTATGCTTCCTCCTCCCAAGACTTTTTCAACGTTCTAAAAACCCCCCAAATTCGTAATAACTGTGTTCTGAGCCCCTAAAACACAAAGCCCAAGAATTTTACACAGGTAAAGACTATAATACCCATTCTCTCCTCCTGTCCCCAACCTAATCCCTCCTCCCCCAAACGTCACATCAACCCCCCTCCCTCCATTCCTCAGGTCCATCATCCCCCTCCCTCAATTCCTAATCCCAAATAATTAGTTATGCAGCACCACAAGCACGCTGGACCATTGCAACTGCTACAACCTTCATGTATCTTCTTTATAAGCCAAGAAACATAACATTAACCCTCATTATCCACCCCTCACCTTGATGGAGTTTCAACCAGGTCATGAAGCTCAGGACCTCAACCTTAACCTGTCCCTGCAGCCCAGGCCTCGTCCTGAGCACGCACGAGTTTTCTCGTGTAACTATTGTTGATGGACTTTTTACAGCGCCCAAGCTCTTGGAGGACACCAGAACGCACACAAGCTAGAGCACAACCTAGCGAAGAGGAGCAGAGAGATGGCTAATGATATCCGACAGTGCTCAACATCGAATTCGGACGGCGAGGGATCTGGTGACAGCTGGCTAAGTAATCCATCAAGATGGAGAGTGGGAGGGAGGATTATTTGTGTGGTGTTGGTGGGAGGTATTAGCGGAGCTTTAGACAGAGGAAAGAAGGGGCGGGTGCTAATGCAGTAGTGGGGATTTATAGAAGGTCTGATGATATAGATGCTAATGAAGTTGATTTATCATTAAGGCTATGAATTTGCGGGCATTATTGGATTCTAGCTAGTTCTCTTAATTAGTTGTCCTCGATCGATTGCCATTAAAAAGGGGGGAAACGGTGAGTCATTTCATTTTTTCTGCATAACTAAGGTTATGAGTTGCTTGTTAAGGTTATGCATTGGTTGTTAAGATTACGAGTTGGTTGTTAAGGTTATGTATTGGTTGTTAAGTTTACGCGTTGGTTGTGAAGGTTAAGCTTAACAACCAACCAGTAACCTTAACAACCAACGCGTAACCTTAACAATCAACGTGTAACATTCACAACCAATGTGTAACCTTAACAAGCAAACCTGTAACCTTCATAAGCAACCCGTAAAACCTTCATAAAAATAAAAAATGAAGGAAATAGAAAAAAAGCTTTAATTTTTTGGACTTCTACTATAATAATTCATAACTTCATAAAAATAAAAAGCAGTAACAATTCTACACTTTCCTTCAGAAAATTCATGCTTACAGCACCCCATAAAACTGTGCAATATATGATTACTTTCATTTTACCACTCAACACTCACTGAGGAGGTGGACTGCCATGGTTTTGAGACCGTTGACCGGGGATAGAGGAAGAAGACGGGGATGTATACGTTTGTTTTAGGTGGTGAGAGTGAGCTGGATTTTGTAATAATATTTCACTTTTAATTTTAATGAAATTTTCAAAAGCTAAGCGATTTACGTGTTGGTTGTTAAGGTTACGGGTTACAAATTTTCTAAACATCTTCATACGTATTACAAATACAATACATTATCTGCAAGCAGATCCATTGAAAATTCTTCCATCGTTGTAGCCTAATTTCTTCAAACAAATTCCTCGAGTAATTGATTATCACATGAACACTCACCCAAACATGAGTGGGGAGTTGCTTCCTCAAATCCACTTCCACACGGACACACGCTGGACTGTCTCTCATCATATGGGCAGTAGCTCGATCGAAGCATAGGTAATCTCAAACTGTAATCTCATCATATAGGCAGTAGCTCGATCGAAGCATAGGTAATCTCATCATCATAAGAGCCACCATATCACTGTAATCTCAAACTGTAGAATGATATATCGTGATTCCAAAGGACCCATGATAAATTCCTCTTTCAATCTTATGAATTGACAGCAGAATAACAATTATCCCAAATAGAATGACTAGGTAAGAACTTAGTCGCCACAAGATCCTTGAAGACATCTTTAGCGAGCTGAAGCTCTTTAGGGGCAAAGAAAGAAAATAGATGGCTCCCCTTATCGAGGAGATTCTATAATCAGCAGTGAAATCAGTAGGATTTTTGGAGGGGGATGATGGACCTGAGGGATGGAGAGGGGGGGTTTGATGTGGCGTCTGGGGGAGGAGGGATTAGGTTGGGGACGGAGGTGAGGGGTCGAGCAGAGGCCGCGTTGGGATCGACGGTGGACAAGGCGGATCTCGACGAACTGAGGCGAGTGGTCGAGGCACGAGATCGGAGAGGAGCTTCGGCCGCCACGAGGTTTGCGAAAGGGACGGATGGGGCTAGGGAAAAATGGTAGGGGAAGGAGGAGGGAGAGCGGAGGGATCGCATAGTTGGAGAGAGATGGAATGAGTATTATAGTCTTTACATGTGTAAAATTCTTGGGCTTTGTGTTTTGAGGGCTCAGAGCATAGTTATTACGAATTTTGGGGTTTTTAGAGCGTAAAAAAAGTCTTGGGGAGGGAGCATACTTGTTAAGAATTTGGGGGCTGGAAGCATTTTTCCCTTTAAAATATTATCACAATGAACAAACAAAAATAATTTCTTATTTTCAAAGCTTAAACTGTAAGTTTTCTCTAACTTTTGATATTTGGACATCTAGAGCACAAATTGATTATTTGTGTATCATAACATACTGGATAGATGATAATTGGCAAATATTTAAAAATATTGTTTCTTTTATTACATTTGAAGATTCACACACTAGTGTTAATGTTATAAATAATAGTGGAAGAACTTTCAAAATTAAAAAATTCTAATAAAATATTTTTTTTCACTAGATAACGCAAGTAATAATAATGTAGTTGTAGATTATATCAAAACATCTTTTCTATTCTCATGCCAGGATGATATTTTTCATATTAGATGCATGTGTCATATTTTAAATTTAATTGTCCAAAGTACATTTAATGATATCAAACCCATGATGGAAAATTTGAGGGTCATAACTTATGCTCATATTGATTATAAACAAGGACTTAAAAGATAAAAATAATTGTGTAGAAGAAAAAAATGTAAAAACTAAGTTAATTCCAAAGGATGTTGACAATGAGTGGAATTTTACCTATACAATGTTAAATGTAGAAATAGAGTACAAATAAATTATAAATAATTTTATTACTTTCTATACTTCTAGTTCTAGTAATGTGTATGAAATAACTGATGATAAATGGACTATTATATATTGTGTAAAAGTGATGCTATAAGTTTTTTATGAAAATACTATGTTATTATATGGTTGTTATTATCCAACTATTGCTCAAGCTGCTTTATAAGTTTTAAATATTTAAACTTTTTTTAATACTTATCGCATGAATAATTATTTTGGAAACATGATTTTTGAAATGGAAAGTAAATTTAATAAATATTTTAGACCTATTCCTATTATTTTTGGTGTGGGAATTCTTATTGATCTTCCATGCTTGAAGGATATTGCCTTTCAAATTTTGTTAAATTCTTTGTATGAGAACATGATGATAGACACTAATAGTGGTCAGACTATCACTGCTCTTACTCATCATAACACTATTAAATATTATTTGATGAGTATGCAGGTAGATGTGGTGTAAGTATACCTCAAGCTACAGCTTTTACAAGCTCAAGACGAGGCAAAGGTAAGCTTTTTGATAGGCAATCGATGATAGAGAGACTAACTGGTAATAGTCGTGGATCTGGTTCTAGATTATCATTAAGGATTTTTTTTTTAAATTGAACAATATTTAGCTGCACCTTTAGTTAAACCTCAAAATAATGTTGATTTTGATATTTTACAATAGTGGAAAGTATATGGAACAATTTCATATCCTATATTTTCCATCATGTCTCGTAACTTACTAACAGTGCAGGTTTTTACAATAGCTTCGAAATCCACCTTCAACACATTAGGACGTTTGATTGATGACCACTGAACATTGCTAAATCCGTCTACCGTACAGGCGATAATATGCCTACAAGATTGGTTAAGGTTCGAGAAGAGATCTCAATGCATCGACCGGATAGCTAATATTGAAGATAGACTTAATGAATTGATGACAGGAGATAGAGAGTAGAAAGTAGTTTATAATTTTCAATTTTTAGCTGTAAATTTGTGATAAATTATTTGAAAAGAGTTGCACATGATAGTGATATAGATGAGTAGGTGTTAATCTAGTTTGGATGTATTCATCTATTGTGATGCGACAATCTCCAAAAAAAATTCTAATTGTTAGTGATTGATAATAAAGAGTTTATTTTTTTATCATTTTAATTTCTATGATATTTGCAAATTGTATAATTATAAGCTACTACCAATATGATTGAATTTTTATCAAATTTTTACATATTTTAATTACTCTTGAAATTCCTTTTTTTCAAAAAAATAATAAATTTAAAGAAATTTTTTACAAAAAAGAATGAAAATAACAAAAGAAAAATTCGGGCCGACCTGGTGGTGCCAGGGCGGTCTGTCCCAGGCCCGGATTCCTAGGGGTCCGGCCCGTTTGGGCAGGCCTAACTGCAATCTTGCTAAGAAGAACCCATAATATATACTGAAAAACTTATAAATTAGATGGTGCATATGCATCTTTATAGATGCAAGATGCGGGATCACTTTGATTCTAGGAATGATAGAAAATATCATAAAATTAGTCATCTTTTGGGTCCAGGCTTTAAGCCGTCCATTTCATGATCACTGGATGGATAGTAAGGGACAATGAAAAAAGAACAACAGAAGCTCTAGATTTAGAGCAGCGCTATTTGGCTCGCGCTTTAACGCGCGAGCCAACGCGCACAGATACAGGGGGTGGGCCCCACTGACACAGTAGGGCCCACCCTGCTAGATTTACTAGAGTTTCAATTTGGAAAATCCAAATGTTGTTGGCCCCCATGAATGCACGCATGCAGGTAACATATAAACAGAAAATATAAGAACACATAACGGACTTGCTATCAAATAAGCGTTCGCATACAACGAAAGGTCATTATCTAATTAGATGCCAAGCAAATTAGCGCTGTCACGAAGGGCAAATGTACATTTAAGACTTCGTTTAAAAAGAATATATACAGTTGTAAACAAAACTTGTTGGCCGTCACATGAAGGTACTCTTCGACTCAACAGGTCACTTAGACATAAGCATACAGCAGATCTTACTTTTTCCGTGCGGAAATTTCGAATGGGATACTGCATTTAGTCCTTAAAGTTGAATTTCAGTTACCATCCATTTCAACAGCGTCTATCAACTGGAGAAATATCGCTGAAAATTTTATCAACACACTTCCAAAAATTGTGGTCTAGATGGCTGAATTCGCAGTATGGGAACAATATTCTTTGACAAGTTTCGCGAATAGAGATCCCTCGGTTTTCATCAGTTTCATGGGTTCATCATATTCCACCAGTTCCCCTGAAAATAAGTGGAAAGGAATTTCAAGTAAGATGCATTGTTTGGGTAACCACCTCATTGTTGTATAATTAACCTAGAATACAACATTTACAAGAAGCTAGCATGTCTTTACGGTTAAGTGACGTTTCCGAAAGTTTCTGGTTTTATCTCAAAATGGACCAAACTTTTCATGGGTTTTATGAATTTTACCCTAATATCAAACTCTTTACGAAAAATATATTTATTTAGACTAAATATATAGTGAAGTTTATCCCTAGCATATCACATTCCTTCAGCAATAATGTTCTGCATCAATTCTCATTCCTGGAATCTGAATGATCGGCATTTCCTGCGTAACATTGTTACTGATTATGATCTTAACAATTACTAGGTTGATTCTGTGCATTCCCCTTATCTACCTTAAAATCAACTGTAGAATTTGACAGCTAGTACCAAATGCAAGCCCCAAACAGTTCCACTTTTGCTTATCATGCATTTAGTCGAAAGTATAGATGTGCATTTTCCTTTCCTTATATTTCGAAGTCTTAATATCATTATACTTATCAAAAACCTGAACATAGGGCAATAAACCTTGAAAGAACCTTTCAATGTGGAGGGAAACTTACCATCACTAATAGAAAGCACCATGGTGCTATCCATTACTGTTGGTATCCTATGGGCAACTGTGATGACTGTGCACTCTGCAAATTCTGTTCTTATTATCTTCTGAAGGATTGCATCGGTGGCATTGTCAATTGATGCCGTGGCTTCATCAAGAACCAATATCTGACTTCTCCGTAAAAGTGCACGTCCTAAACAAAATAACTGTCTTTGTCCCATGCTCCAATTTGATCCATCTTCCACAACTGCAGTGTACATAATCGTCAATACAGATGTGTTCATATTATACTTTTATATATGACATGATAGAAATACTTGCCTAGTGAATCTAGACCCTGTTCTTTCTCTAGAACAGCTTCTTGAAGCTGACACTTATTGAGTACCTGCAATTGCACCATATTATCATGAGAAGAATGGTAATGTGAAAATAATGAACAATAATTACTACTAAGTTTTTGTTAACCTTATAAGCTATCAAGTGGATATTACCTCCCATATTTCCTGATCGGTATATTGGCCTAAGGGATCGAGGTTGTATCTGACAGACCCATTGAAGAGTGTAGGATCTTGAGGAATAATCCCAAAGCGAGACCTCAAATCCTGGAGACCAATTCTCGTGATATCGACATCATCAATAATAACTTGTCCTCCCGTTGGTTCAACGAGCCGAAATAATGCACCTATTAAAGTGGTTTTCCCGCTTCCAGTTCTTCCTACAATCCCAATCTTATGCCCTCCCTCAAATACACAGCTGATTCCTTTAAGCACAAGCGGAGTATCTTCCCTATATCTGATCTGCTTGATGCAAAATGTTTCATATTAGTAAACTATATGGTTGCTATTTTTTTTGCACAAAAGGTTAATTCCACAAATCCCCCCTAAAATTGGTGGGTATTGCACATAACCCCCTGAACTTTGGTTTGTATCACAAAACCCCTTANNNNTTTCCCCCCCCCCCCCCCCCCCACCCCCAAAAAAACAAAAAAAAAACCCTCCTTTTTCCCTTATCATTGAAAGTTTTTTCCTCTGAATAAATTTTTTGTTATTTGCAAATTATAGGTAGGGGTTGCGATAAAAAAAGATTAAAGTTCAGGGGGCGTTTGAGACATCGCAAAGTTTTGGAGGGTTATGTGAGATAAAACAGTTCAAGGGCATTATGTGCAAAACCTTCCCTAAACCCAAAATAATGTTCATTGCTCTTTCTAAGCAAGAGTTACCTGCAAATTTTTGAATTCCACCCTACCAACAGAAGGCCAACTGGGAGGAGGTCGGTTTCCTTCAATGACTTCTGGAGCCTCACTTGGTACATGCATATATTGATTAACTCTTTCAACAGAAATAATGTTATTTGCAAGCGTGCACTGATTTTGTATGGAGAAAACAAGGGAATTGTTTAATGAAAGACCGTAAGAAAGAGCCATTCCAACAAATCCTGCGTAAAGCGGAGGTAATGTTGAGAAAAATTTAGAGTACACAACTCTAAACTTACTAATATTGGACCCAAACAAATAAACAAATCACTTGTATTATACCCACAATAAAGGACACTACAACACTTTTCAAAGACCACTAACAATTTGAAGAGAAATACAAACACTCAAAAGAAAGCTCACAACTCACCAATTTTGGTGGACACTCACACAAGCTTACACTACACTCAAGCTCACTTCTTGCTTGCTTACACAAATGAGAGTCCAAAAACCTTATTTATAGTTGAGTAAGAGGGCTAGGAAGTGTGTGGAAGAATAAATCCTAGCCATACATTAGTAAGAATTTTCTAGAAGAATAAATACTAGTCATACACTTATATCATCCTAGAAACTTCTTGGTAGATGTTTTGTAGGATGTTACTAGAAAGAAGTTCTATAAAATTATTCTAGAACAATCTAAGTTGGTGAGGAATTCTAACACTCCCATCATCACCAACTTTATTCGCTCTTGCAATCATTCCAAGTCGTTTTCAAAATTCTTTAAACTTAGAAGGATTCAAGCTCTTAGTGAAAATGTCTGCTATTTGGTATTCACTCTTGATTGGTTGTATCTGTATTTCTCCTTGTAGCACCTTTTCTCTTATGAAGTGATGATTGATCTCTATGTGCTTCGTTCTTGCATGAAAAATTGGATTCTCTGCCAAACGAATTGCCGACTGATTATCACAGTACAACGGAACTGTATAATCTACTGGTTGATGTAGATTATTCATTACCTGTATCAACCATGTACTCTCTTGAGCTGCCATTGCTGTTGCTCGATACTCAGCTTTAGTGGTTGATAATGATACCATCAGCTGTCTCTTGCTACACCAAGAAATTGTTCCAAAACCAAGCTTAAACACATACCCAGTTGTTGATCTTCTGGTGTCATGATCTCCTGCATAGTCAGCATCGTAGTAACCAACTAACTTGCAGTCTCCACCTTGCTTATACAAAAGACCATAGTCAATTGTACTCTTAACATATCTCAGTATTTGTCGAACTGCTTCCAAATGAGGCTTCTTTGGATTTTGCATGTACTGACTCATCACCTGCATAAGAAATGTCAGGTCGAGTCAATGTTAAGTAGATCAGACTGCCTACCAATTTTCGATACATTATCGCATCTTTCAAATTTTTCCTTCATGCGCACACATTTTGACATTTGGTTCATCGGCGTCGAAATCGGCTTGCATTCAAGCATTCCGAACCTCTTTAACAAATCTTTGGAATATTTTGCTGACAAAGAAATATTCCTTCTTGTGTGCAATCAACCTCTAGACTAAGGAAGTACTTTAGTTGTCCATGTTCCTTCATCTAGAAATGGATTGATAAATTTTTCTTCGTCCGGTGTTACTGAATAACCACTTTGTGTTAGAAATTCAGCAATCTTACCATACCACGCCCTGGGTGCTTGTTTCAAACCGTAAAGTGTCTTTCGTTGTTTACACACATATTCAGGATGATCTTGGCTCTGAAAATACATTGGTTGGATCACGTAGATCTCTCAATCTAGCTCTCCATGAAGAAAAGCATTCTTCACATCCATCTCTCATAAATTCTAGTCTTTGTTGGATGCAAGTGCAAGTAGAACTCGTACAGTTGTAAGTTTTGCGACCGAACTAAACGTTTCATATTCTAGTCCGTGCTGTTGAGAGAAACCACGAGCTACCAATCGTGCCTTGTACCTCTCTATTGACCCATCTGGACGACGCTTTATCTTGTAAACCCATTTACAGGATACGGGTTTCACGTCTCCTGGCTTTGGCACCAGATCCCAAGTCTGATTTTGTTGAAGTGCATTGATTTCTTCTTTCATAGCTTTCATCCACTCAGAACTTCGTGATGCTTCTTCGAACGTCTCAGGTTCTATTATAGTTGCTTCTTCAACTATGGCTGCATTGGCATATTTGGGATTTGGCCTTTGTGTTCTTGTTGACCTTCGGAGTGGAGTTGATTCTTCTATTTCACTAAGCCCACCTTCTTCGTTTGGTTGTTGATATACGCCAGTTTTCCAAGGATACTGAGTTACTCTTTGTTCATCATCATCGTCGTTTGGATCTCCTGATTCATCTGAACTTGGTTAGAGTTGAACAGTATGCTTCCCGATCTTTTGTTGCAGCTTGTTTAAATTCTCTCAAGTCTGGCAACACCTCCTTCTCTAAGGACCACCAAGAAGATGCTTCATCGAACACCACATCTCGTGAAGTGTAGCATTTTCTACTTGTTGGATCGCAACATTTCCACCCCTTTCTCTGGCAGTCGTATCTCACAAAGATACATCTAACAGCTTTCTTGTCAAACTTGCTCCGTAAATGATAAGGAACAAATACATAATATACACAGCCAAATACTCGGAAGTAGCTAACTGTAGGTTTCATGTTCCATAGTTTCTCAAAGGGTGAAACAAATCCTAACCTCGGTTGAGGAAGTCTGTTGATCACAAAGGCTACAGTCCTCATTGCTTCAGCCCAAAACCTTCCTAGTACGTTCTTTGCATGTAGCATAATTCGAAAAATTTCTGCAAGATGTCGGTTCTTTCTCTCCGCTACACCATTCTGTTATGGCGTGTTGGCACAAGTGTATTGATGACGTATTCGATTCCCTTAGGTATTGAGAGAACTCACTTGAGCTATATTCTCCTCCATTGTCTGTGCGCAAGCAACGAATCTTCTTTCCCACTTCTCCTTCTGTTGACTCTCTGAACTCTTTAAACTTTCAGAATGTGTTAGATTTTTCTTTCATAAAGAAAACCCACACATACCTTGAGAAGTCATTAATGTATGTCACCATGTACCGCATAGCACCAATTGATGGTTGCTTAACGGGCCCAAATACATCAGAGTGAACTAACTCCAATTGTTCTTTTGCTTTAAACTTCGATTCCTCGTATGGAAATTAGTGTGCTTTACCATACTCGCATCCTTCACAGATCGTGTCTGTTCACACATCTAGTTGAGGAAGCCCCTTAAGCATCAACTTCTTCATCATCATACTTAGCTTGGAATAGCTAATGTGACCTAACCGCATGTGCCATAGATCTGCTGTCTCATTTTTTCTTGTCCTATCTACATATGCAAATTCTGCTGACATCACGTAGACTGATTCTAATCATCACCCCTCCATTGTTAGTGTTTCTGAAATTTTGAGATCACGATACACCTTCACATCTCGGGGACCGAACAAGATATTGTGGCCAAACGATGTTAATTGAGCCACAGATAGCAAGATTTTCCTCATTCCTAGGACATGATAAACATCTTGAAGTAGCACCTGGTTAGAATTATATCGAGGCGTAACTATCGTCTTACCGATGTGAGCTATCGGCAACCTTGAGTTGTCGGCAGTCACCACTACATGACCTCCCTTATACTCAGACAGGCTTTGTAACTTCTGTTTATCACCTATCATATGATTTGAGCAGCCCGAATTTACGATCCAGTCATTCTTGTAGTCAATCTGTTTGGTGTTGTTACCGTGAGAGCTAATTCTTCTTCTTCTGTAGCGAATAATGCTTCGGCATCCCAACCATCTTCGCTATTCTCCTTAGAACTAGAAGTAGCAGTATTACTTTCAATAGGTTTTTTCTTGGTCCAACAATCTTTCGCCATGTGGCCCATCTTCCCGCAGTTGTATAACACTCACCATCGAACTTTCTACTATTACCACGATTCTTTGAAGCTCCCCCTGGACGATAGCCTCCCTTTCCTTGGTGAATTTTCACCTTGTCATCATCCTTTTTAGATCCACCACCAGTGTACCGCTTGAAACTGCATTTGTTTTTGTTGGTGTAGAGCGCTTCCTCTTCACCCTTCAGCAAGACTCCTCCCATTTGCTTGGTCATAGCTTCTTGACCTGCAAGCAAATTTTCAAACTCAACAAGCGATGGTTGTGTCGGCCATCCCAGTACAGCGGTAACGAACCCTTGATATTTAGGTCTCAAACCATGGATAATTATTCTTTTTATCCTGGTTTTCCCAATCAAAGCTTCCGAATCTAATTCTGAAATTTCGCGGGGTATCAACTTCACCTTGTGAAAATACTAGGCAATCGTCATGTCACGTTACACCATTGATAACAGCTCGTTCTCGAGAAGTTATAGTCTTGTATCATTCTTCTTTGAAAAGAGTGTAACAAAAGTGTCTCATGCTTCCTTCGGTGTTTTAGCATCCCGAATGTGCTCTAACATTTCTTCTTCAACTATGGTCTTTAAAGCAAACATCGCTTTGCCTGCTTTAATTTTCCATTTTCGCAAGATGTCGTTTGCATCTTCCGTCGCCGGTTGTGTAACTTCGCCACCACTGACAACCTCCCAAAGGTCATGACCTTGTAGGTAAGACTCCATACATGTTGCCCATGTATTGTAGTTTTTGTTGTTGAGCTTCTTAATTCCTGCAACTACTTGAAGATCACCCATCATGCCGGCAAGACTTCGACTATACCGAACAGGCTTGACTAACAAACTTGCAGAGTACCAAACTTCTCACGACTCAAGATAGCTCCTCCAATAACGATCCCTGGCCATCCTACTCCGATACCAAATGTTAAGAAAATTTTAGAGTACACAACTCTAAACTTACTAATATTTGTTGGAAAATGGGTGTAGACCCAACACTGGTTGATGGCGAGATTCAGGCGAGGTGAGATCCTTAGGTGGCTTCAGGCGAGGATGTCTACAGGAGAGCTCGAAGAGGGCTTCAGGCAAGCACGAAGGCAAGGCGAGTTGCAGGCGACCTCCTCCAGGCGAGGCGACGAGCTTCTGGCGAGTCAACACAGGCGAGGGTGAGGCTCTGCAAGCGAAGTCAACGACTAGGGCAAGAGAGCTCATGGTGAGCTCGAGCGAAGGCCCTACAGGCGAGGTCGACGTGAGGCACAGGCAAGTTCGAGTTGGATCTCACAGGCGGAGCGAGCGGACTGCAAGCGAGTCGACACAGGCGAGCTTCGAGCGATGAGCTTGCCT